GGGCGTGCAACGCCTGCAGTTTGGACTGGCCGCCGTCGGGAAGGGACGGGTGGCTGTGGTGAGGGTGGTGAGGGGGCAGGTGGTGGTGGGAGGAAGACGCAGAGGAGGAGGAAGCCGAAGCTTGGCTGGGGGGCATCTGGAAGGGGCCCTTCCCGCGCTTGCTGCCAAAAAGGGAGCCCAGGAAAGACGACGAGTTAGAAGGGGGGCGCGGCTGAGGCTTGTACTCCTCAGGGGGAGGTGGCGGCGGCACTCTCTGGTGAGGACGCGGGCTGCTAATAATAGACCCCTGAAGCGACACAGAGGGAGCAGAAGGGGAAGAGAGAGAAAAAGAGAGAGAGAGAATGCGGTTGAGGCAAGAAAGAGGGGAAATGACAGAGAGAGAGAGAGAGAGAGAGAGAGAGAGGGGCGGGGGGTTAGATATTTGGCTCCTGTAATCACCTATGTCTATGAGGTCTGGACTTCCCTTCGCCTGGCTCAGAGAAGATCATGGCTTCTGCTTGTCTAAGGGAAGGCTGGCCTTAACAAGGAGAGGCCGTGTATGCCAGCAAGTTGTGGGCCAGCCTTCCCAGAGCCAAGAAACGACTCCCATGTCCTATGAACCTCCGTGCCTCCCTCTGCCGTGGGGTGGGAACAGAAGTGGAAGAAGACACAACAGAAAATAAAAAAGAGAGAGAAGAACAGAGAGGCTGCAAAGGCGGAGCGCACGGGGAGGGATGGGGGAGCCCCATCCATGTCCCCCTCTTTCCCTCCCATCCCCCAAGTCTGGCTCCCTTTATTCTGACCCACTTACTTCAATGGTGCTGTCCAAGGATCCCACGCTGTTACGGCGGCCCCGCTTGCCTGCAACAGAGCAGGGGTTAGCGAAACCTGAACGCCACCCTCCCCTTCCCTTTTAGCCAGTACTCCTGCGCCTTTGAAGGCATGGGGAGAATGGGGACCGTTCTTAAGCCCATAAAGCAGAGCAACAGAGCAGAGGCAGAGTTAGCAGCAGACAGAGGAAAAACAGAGAGTGCGTCTCGGCCCTGTCCAACTTCAGGTTGAGGTAGGTGTGGGCATCAGCCACATGCGGGAGAGCCTCATCATCTGTTGCCATGAAATCATCCTGGTCAGGGTATGCACATGTCCTGCCCCCACTTTAATATCTGTACCCCCTCCTGTGGCTCTGAACACGGCTGTGTTTCCTCCCACCTCCTCCCTGGCACAATCAGAACTGATCCTGTAAAATGAGAGAGAGAGAAGAATACGTCTACCCACTAACAAACTATATTTTCTCGCTCCCCACCACTCCACCCTTTTGTTCTGCTGACCCCACTCTTGCTGTTCAAAATCCTTGTGTTCCATATTCTTCAGTTACATTTGTAAAAAGAAAATGAATTAAATGTTGGGAATCGTGATCCAGACATTCAGGTTTCTTCCCATTCAGTGGTGAAGCCAAATTAACTACTTTCCAGAGACGGTCATTTCCAAAGTGGAACTGAAGCTCAGCAAAACTTAGTCAGAACTCAATTTTTAAAAACCTCATAGCTTTCACTAAAAGATCAGATCAAATGGCAAGGCCTTTTAAGACTTGCTCAGTTTGTAGGTGGCAGCAGATGGTTGGGTTTTTTTTTTTAAATGCTCTCCAAACGCAGAATCTCCTTGCAGACAGAAACCTAGCATGCCAGGGAGAGAAGATTTAGCCTGGATTTCTCTCTGTTTTCTGCACAGAGACTTTATTTGGGAGATTTCCAAAAGTTAACTCTAGTAGTGGTACAGTCTAGAACAAGTTCTGTCGCATTATCCCAACTTTATAAACTGTCCAAATTCCGGAGGACTAAAAAAGGAACTGAGGTTGCCCCCAAACCTTTCCCAGATGCAGGCAGCACAGGGTGGGGCCAGCGATGTGAATACATTCGAACACTAGGAACTGCCAAGCGTGCCTGGCAAGGCCTAGCATGGAGCAGGGTCCCACCGTCTTTCACAAACTTCCATTCCTGTGGGCGACATTTCTCTGCATTCTCTTTAGCATAAACCAAGAAACTCTGCTTCGCTCCTGATCTTCCTCCCAGCCCCGAGCCTCCCAGGCCCTCTCCACCTGGGACCACGTAAAGACCCCAGAGTCCTGACCCCCAGTCCCTCACCAGCATCAGAGAGGTCACGGAGGGAGCTGCTGAGGGCGCTTCTCTTCAGCCCTTCTCCCACGGTGTAGGCATCCTCCAGGCTACTGCGAGTCAGGGTCCCATTCACAGCGTCCTTGGGCCCCGAGGAGGGGGAGGCATTGGGGCGCATCACTCCTTTCTGCTTCTCCAGCTCCGCTGTCGAGACAAGAGAAAACAAACAGATGCAGATGCCCACAGAAACAAGACACGTGGGGACAATCAACTGGGTGCACCTCAGCCCTGATGACCTGGGCCTGCTTGCAGGTGAAGGAGCCTAAAAGCTATGCCATGACTACCATGACTATATGCAGAATCCAGTCTTGGGGTAGACACACAGGCCACCTTCAGAGGCCTGCAAGCCTCCCCCAGATCCTCAATTTGTTTCTGAGTTTGCCAACATGCCCTTCCCTCAGGTCTCCATTGAGCAGCAAGGTTAGAACCACTTACATTCCACACGGTACTTCTCCATCTCCTGGACTTCGGCAATGGATTCCCGCAGGTCGCTGGTGAAGCGCAACCGATCCTGCAGGCTGGGGGCATTGAAGATGATCAGGACTTTCCTCTCCCCACCAGGAACTGCCGAAAGCAGCTTAATCCCAAACTGGTAATCTGTGTGGGGGCAAAGTAAGTCAGATGCTGGCTGTGACTGCAGGTCCACTTCCCAATTAGGAAAAAGGCTTGTTTGGGGGTGGGTGGGTGGGTAGGTGGGGGGAGAATCTGGGTGTGCGGATTGCTGAGGAAAAGGACCCAGGATGGATCTAACCGGCCGACCTGATGGGCACGAGATGGCTGGCCTAAGGAAGGAGCAGAAAGAGGGCCAACGAAAGGTCAAAAGTCCTGGGAGGGCCTGAAGGCACATAGGTCAGAGCACACTACTATTTAATACAGGAGGAAGAGGATATACTGAACCAGGAAGCTGGCAGTATATCCTAGCATGGGGTGGAGAACCATTCCAGCTTCAATTCTTCACTATCATCAGCATAGCCAGTAATATGGTATTGTAGGAGCTGTGATTCCAGATTAAAAACAAAAAAAAAACAAAAACCCTAAACAAAACCTGGGGGACCCAAAGCTCCCTACTCCTGTCCCACTGGTTGAACCCAGAAGTTAGGGTATAGGAAGGGGGCAGCAACCCGACTGGGAGGGCACTCACAGGAATTCTGGAAAAGCTGCAACTGCATCTCCACGAGAGGAAAGCTTTGGCGGAAACTGTAGGTCACCAGGATCTTCTTCTTCTGGAATATCTTTGTCACCTGCACATTGGAGGCAGGAGGGGAACGGAAACAGGGTCAGCAAAGAGGAGAGCGAAGAGCAAGTGAAGTGCTCCAGGAGGATACTGCCCCGGAAACAGAGGGACCCTGCTTCCTTTCCCTGCTAGAACAGCCTAGTCCACAGGTTAAATCGTATTCCTTCTCACATGAAAAGAACCACCACTGAAGAGGCATGGGATCAGCTTCCATGGGGATCATGTGAGTTTAAGGCGTCTTTCCCCCACATCAGGCCTCATCAATGGAGAGGCAAAATCCTCATGGAAAGCTATTATGTAACTTGACCTGCCCACACAATCTTTTCTTATGAACGTTTTCACAGCAGAACGGGATGCGGCCACATGGCAGGAACTCCTCTCTATAAAACAGGCCCAGAAATGGTTGAGTAAAAGGTATTATTTCACTCCTCATCAAATGAGTTTCTAACACAATTCAGGAATCCAGGTTCTAAAACTTTTAGTCACTTGGCTTTACATCACAGAGAAGATATCATAGACTTATTCAAAAATATCATTACATTTAATGACTCAATCAACTCTCCAGTCCAGAGACAACCCAGTCCCAGGATAATGGCTGTGTAACATCAATTGCACACTGTATATGCATGTGTGTGTGAGAGAGAAAGAGGGAGCACTAAAGGCAAACACAGGCAGGCAAGTAAAAGGACACAGCAGGAGAGTAACAGCTTTTCCCAACAAAGATGCAAATGTTCACTTGGTGACGATGCTCACACAATGTCTGATATCCAGCTTCACCTGGCTTAGTAAACACCGACAAGTAACAAAGTAGCCGGATGTCCTCAAAATAAGCAATGCTGCCTCCCGATGCCAAGCTCCTCACCGAAGGACCCAGAAATCTGCACTCCCTTCTTCACTCACCACTAACAGGTCATTGAAGAGGAAGACTTCTCGCTGGTGCAGCCCAAGCCTTTGGGGCCGATTGGGGTCAGGTACTTCATACAACTGGCAGCAGCAAACCAGGCGCCTGTGAGGCAGGGAGAGGACCTGAGAGGGATGGAGAGGAAGAAACAAGGCTTGGGAGTTGAAACCAAGGAGAAGGGAGGCCAGGGGTAAAATGACCCCTCATCCCATCAGGTATTCTTTCCCCCACTCACGGGTTTTTTGCCCACAATCATGCGCTCCACAGCCTGGACCTGAGACACATGGTCATCATTAGTGCGTAGCTCCCGGTTCTGAATCCGCTGGTAAATCCCTACCAGTAGATCACGGGGAATATCTTCGCCGTTATCCACCCCTGTGAAGAAATGGGGGCAGGGGAGGGGAGGAGAACAGTTGGGAGTCAAAGCCGCATTATGTCTAAAAGCAAGGATAAAAATACCTAGCATGCATTTAGTGATTTAGAGCACAGCTGAGTTAGCAGGAACCCCCCCCCCACAAGATCTTGTTGGATTGCAAACCCATGAGCCCCAGTCAGCACAGGTAAGGGTGAGTATGATGGGAGTTGGAGCTGTTTCTTTCTTTCCATAGATTATTCTCAGAGTCTTTCCATAGATTATTCTCAGCTACTCCTTACAAGAGTCCTGTAAGGTAGACTAATATCATTTCCCCCTCCCTCCACTGAAGACTGGGTGCTGAGGCTACTAGCATCATGGCTCATCTAGGGCTGCCCTGAAAGCAGCTGGGGGGTAACTGCATTTGGATTCCATAAATCCACAGATATTCCGAGTCAACTATTCTTTTATTTTATAAAGCACCAAGGGCTACTGTTATGTGCCATCACATTGCTTCTGACTCATGGCAAACCCTATGAATTAGTGATCTCCAAATTGTCCCACCTTTAACAACCCAGTTCAAGTCTTACAAACTCAGGTCAAGGGATTCCTTTCCTGACTCAACCCATCTCATGTTTGGTTTTCCTCTTTTCCCTGAAAATAAGACCTAAGAACTAACCTGAAAAGAGTAGTCAATCGACTAGATGGGTGGGGTATAAATGCAATGAATGAATGAATGAATGAATGAATGAATGAATGAATGAATGAATGAATGAATAAAATAAGCCCTAGTATGATTTTACAGAATGCTCGTAATATAAGCCCTACCTCAAAAATAAGCCCCAGTTAAGTGAAACCCTGCCCTCCACCATAGTGCAGCAATCAGAAGAAGATGACATGACTGTATTTGAATAAATATAATTGTTGTACATGAAAAAAGTAAAACATCCCCTGAAAATAAGCTTTAATGCATTTTTTGGAGCAAAAATTAACATAAGACCCTGTCTTATTTTCAGGGGAACAGGGTATTTGCAAGATACAATAGTATCAGTTTAGTTATTTTGCTTCTAAAATCCTCAAGCTTGATTTGATCTAGCATCCACTTTGTCATTCTGGTAGTCCACATTATGTATAAAATTCTCCTCCAGCACTCAAGTTCAAATGAACTGATTTTTTTCCTGTCAGCATTTTTAACTGTCCAAGGATCACATCTGTACATAGTAATAAACAGTATTACCATATAGATGATCTTGGCCTTAGTCTCCAGTGACACACGCCCTTATGCCTGAGGGTCTTTTCTAGTTCCCTTTATAGCTGTCCTCCTTGGGCTCAAGTCTTCCCCTAATTTCCTGGCTGCAGTTCCCAATCTCGATTGATGACTGAATCAAAGTATGGAAAATCTTTTAACATCTGGTTGCCAGACACAGTTTGTGCGGCAGCCAACTATACACTGGAGATAATGCATGCACTTTTTCCTGAATGTGCATTCTTTATTCCAGTTTTGCTAGTTGTGAGTTGGGTGAGGGCAATGAAGTCTCCCTCCCAAATCTTACTCAGTCACCTCTTTTTTCTCTGATATTTTAGTATCATTTGCCCAAGCACAATACAGTAGGAACCCCCCTCCCAATCCACTGGATCAGTATCCACAGATTCACTTATCTGCTGCCTGAAAATATTAAATATCGTCCCCCAGAAATATGTAGCTATATGTATTTCAATGGTATATTTACCAAAATTGACCACTAGGAGAGAACCAGGGACCATGCTATACGTACTATATAGTGTTTGCTATTTCCACATTTTTCGGCATCCATATGGGGCACTCAGAATCAATCTCCACAGATACAGTGGTCCTACTGTACACTTTTACACTTGAACTAAACTGCTGGGTGACTGCAAATAGTAAGCAGGATCATGCATTTGTCACACTGAAACTTTTTCTAAACGTTCACAGAACTGTGGCACATTTTGTAAGCAGCAACTGATCCCATGAAATGTAGATGTCAACAACTGGAAAAATGGTGTTAAGATCCTTCAGGCTCCAAAGGCTTAACAAACAGATTCTTGCTCACCCCGTAAATTCTTGATGAAGTCATCAAGTTTCATCTTTCTCTCTGGCTTGACACTGGGGCTATACATGTCGGTGTTCAGAAGGATGATGGCAAAGGCCAGGATGAAGATGGTATCAGGGTTCCGGAACTGGCGCACCAACGCAGCATTGCACACACAGTAACGCTGGCTGGAACAAATGTGGTGGAAGTCAAGACAGACAGAATATGGTTGTAAATACAGAGAATGAAACCACAAGAGAGGGCCAGGGGGACCCAATTTAAGACCTTTGGCTGGTCAAGGTGAACATTTCAAAAGATACCTTATCCTCTCAACTCTCACTGATTACCTACACAACATAAACCACCAAGACTTTAAATGCTTTTTAAAACTGTTTACTATCCAGAGGAATCCCACTGAAAACTACAGTTTTGCCCGAATATGGGAAGCACAATGTATTGCCATATAGAACAATTCTTCAGTGAAATATAAAAGTGAGGCCCTCTGCTCACCTTGAGGTGACCCTAGCCAACTACAAAAAGCTAGGCCTGGGCTTTAGAGGCGCTAAAAGTAAAAGCAATGTTCAGCCCAACTTCTTTTGTTAAATTAGAAAGCATTTTCACCCAGAAAAATGAAATATTCACAGTAAGGCAGGGAGTTCTTATATTCCAAGGATCCACTGACTCCTAATTAATTCAGTTTTAAATTTATACACATTTACGAAAATTCCACAACCCATCATGATAAAGCATTATTTCACAGATACCCATCCTAACCTATAATCAACTGCTTAGCAATATACTTGAAAAGGCTGGATGCTGGAATTAGTTTACTTAATAGATTCATTACAGAAAGCTGGTTGATTAATTGGCTGAGGCCATTTTTATTCTGTGAAGCTGAAAATTAAGGACATGCTTGTTTAGTTTTTTGAAGTGGTTTTCATTTTGAATCACTGTAACAAGGAATGAAAAAGAACAACCTTAAAGATGGTCTTTACTTCTAATGATAAGGAGCTCATTTATTAAATTGTGCCTTCTCTCACACTGCCTTCAATAGCACACACATTATCTTAAGCAGCAACCCAAGGAGCTAGCCGGAATGCAAAGGCTCTGCGCTGCTATAGATGCACAAAGGCTTGGCCTTCTTAAGGGTCAAAAGAAAGCTGTCCTTCTATTCATATCCTTATTTGAATAAATGCTTTCTGTCTGATCTACATGGATCCCTCTTTTACAGAGCATGATGGGGGACCCCCATTTTAAAAGCAAAAAGAACTTCTAAGCTGGAGTATTAAATCCCTTCCCCATCACAGCTAAAATTCCACAAGCTGTCCCAATTGGGTTGGGACAGCTTCTGCAGCCTAAGGTGGCTGCCTCATCCAGCCCAATAACAGAGCAAGCCTGGAGTTTGGGAAGTAGATGCAAAGAAGACAAGCCAGAGGAGAAGTTTGACTCCTACCTCTTATCAAAACCAGATTTCTATCTCACTGTTTTATGCATCTGGGGAAGACTTCACTTTAAACAAAGTAGTCTGCTTGATTCGCATGTGTAGTCTGAGCCGGCTATCTTTTAGCATCTTACTGGGAAAGTTTTTGAAATATGTAAAATCCTATACTTGACATATGAGAACTGGGACTTGAAAGACAGTCAGTCAAGTACCTTTTGATTCAACTGTTTGCCCAACATAGTCCCATACAGGTCAACCCACATACATTCCATTCCAAACTGTAAAAATGCAAAGAATACACTTCATGGAAGTCTAGACTCTTTCTTGTTCAGTTTACAATAAATAGAACGCAAAACTCCCCCACAAAGCTCCTTATGGTTCAATCCCTATTCCTTACAGTAAATCTTCAAACTCACATTCCTACTTATGTAAAACAGAACAAAAACAAATAAGCAAGCAAAAACAAACAACCTATATTTGGATAAATGGGACTGGATCTAATTATCGTTCTAGACCTTAAATGAACCACCAAAGACTCTGCTTAAAGAACTCAAGAATTTGCTCATTCCTTCCCTCTCCTCTTTTCAGTGAGTTCTTTATACAGAAAGAACAGTGAAGCCAAGTGAAGTCTCAGGCTTCAGGGAGAAGACAAACCTTCTGCCGTACTCCGGAAGAAAGGCCAATTATCTTATTTGCCATGGTAGAAAATGCTTGACAGCATGACAAACATGGTGTTAAAGCATCAGGGAAGAAATGTTTCCCAACGGTTGGTGTCCTCAATGTGGTGGAGTTTAGCTTTCTTCTTCTACAAAGGAACTGGATCAACAGGAACAGATATTGATCCAGACTCACACCCGGACATAGAGCAATTCAAAGATTTGGGGCTCGAACAGGACGAATAAGGCAGTACAGTCACCTCAGCCGAGGTGTCTGCCCAGGATGAAGATTGAGCCAACAAAGGAGAAGGCAGCTGGCTGGACAGAGGTGGAATGGATTTGCAGTCGGTATCGAGATCAATAGGTTGTTGATCCTGTACGGAAGGATGCTGTACCGGTGGTTGAAAGTCTACAGAAGACGTTTTAGATTTCTTCGATTTGGTACCAATTGGTTTCGGAGTAGTTTTCGGTGCCGGGGTCAATTGTGATGTCGATCCGGAGAACTTTGACTTAGGCAATTTTGACTTATATTTAGGAGTTGGTAACGGGGAATTAGTAACTGAAGAAACTGGTGGCAGTTGTGAAGCCTGAGTCTCATCCACCTTGGATGGTGGATGAAGAGACTGCTCCCACAAGAAAGATTTAAGGTGTTGTTGATGGAGCCTGTTTAGTAAAGTTTTTACAATAGGAGCAGGCAGCTGGCTGGTGCGTGGCTGTCAGAAAAAGGAAACTTAGTGCACAAAGTGCACCTCTTAAATGGCCCTGCCGGGGCCATAAAAGGCGGGAAGGGAGGGTGAAGGAGGGGCGGATTATGGAAAAAAGTGGTAAAACGACCAAAAAATCACAAAGGAGGAGCAAGAAAAGTATTATAGAACAGTCTATTTCTAAATAAGAACGACACAATGTATTATGCCTCCTCATGAAAAAGAACTAATCTGTGTGAACGGAGAACTCAGAAGAAGAGGAGACTTCAGCAGTGGCAAAAAGGAACTGAGGTAATCATTACGATGGGCGGACCACATGTACTGGGGGGCGGTCCTAGCGAAAGCATCTTTGAGCTCTAGAATATTCCAGAGACCTCTGCACAAGCGCAGATTAAACCTATTAATGTGCATTCAAAGAGACCACGAAGAAAAACAAGAAGTATTCGTGAAGGCTTTCACGGCCGGGATCTAATGGTTGTTGTGGGTTTTTCAGGCTCTTTGGCCGTGTTCTGAAGGCTGTTCTTCCTGACGTTCCCACAGCTATAAATACTATCCAACAAACAGCAACTGAGCATGGACAGAGTTCCTACTCCAGTCCTCTGAAGATGCCGGCCACAGAGACTGGAGAAACGTCAGGAAGAACAACCTTCAGAACATGGCCAAAGAGCCCGAAAAACCCACAACAACCACAAAAACAAGAAGGCTTGCAACTACCAGAAGCAAACAGGAGAAAAAATTGACTCTGAATTGTTGGTTTTTGGTTATAAAAAATAATATAGAACACTGTTCTACACTTTTTTAAAAGTCGTCTACTTCCGAGGTAAAATGTGCTATTTATTATGTATTTTGAAATGCTGAATTCATATATGACAATGAAAACAACTGATTGGCTACTGTTTCAAGATATTTAAGTTTTTACATTTTACATCTATGTATACTGTGTAGATAGTGGAGTTTTAATCATAAATTGTAAACCTAGGACTTTTCATGTGTTTATCATTGCTTTACATGATAATATTTCACCTGTCCTGTTTATGTAACACTTTAAAAATCAACAAAAGACTTATATAAATAAAATGTATTATGAAACAAAAGGCAAAAAACTATTATATGTGTAGTTTAGTCCTATTCAGTGACTACTCAGCGCTTCTTGGCTTATCTCTTGTATTCATTAAATGGAACATCTATTCTCACTGTCCACAAACATTGATGGGCTCAATTTGCCCTGATAGCTTTTTCTATTGTTGCAATATCCTGGTAAAATTGCTCGGTTGCTCACTGCTCTGCAGTTCAGTGGGAAGAAATCTAAATGAGAGTGAAAATCATGTATCTTTAGTGACAAGTTGAAACGAAAGCTTTCTGTATGCCTTGAGGTTTTCCACCAACAACTTGCAGCTGTCTAACTTGTTTCCAAGAAAATTTATTGCTGGAAGGCATTCCATGCTGTCTTTTCCTTGCTACACAGTGCATGGTCACATGCATCATCTCAAAGAAGTTCACAAATCTGGGGACCAACGAAGACACTATCCTTTGTCTTAGCTTCCCTTAACCTCGGAAATTTTCCACAGAGGTACTTGAAAGCTGCTTATGTTTTGTCTTTGACAAAGTTTTTAATCAGACCCAGCTTGATTTGTAAGGGTGGTAACAAAACCTCCCTTGATTCAACAAGTGGTGGATGCTCAACACTTTTCCTCCCAGGCTCCAATGACTGTTGGAGTGGCCAATCTATCTTGATGTAGTGAAAATCTCTTGCATGGCTGTCCCATTCACAGAGAAAACAGCATATCCAATCTGCAGACCAAGCAAGAGTGCAACAACCTTCACATTGGCACTAAGAATTGATGTCAAAACTTTGCCATTATGCAGCAAAACGGCTTTAAGACTCTTCGATGAATCAATTAACAGTTTCCACTCATCTGGATTGTGGACAATGTTGAGGGATGCCATCACGCCACTGATGTTGTTGCAGGCTACAAAACTGCCTAAAAAGCAAGTATTGCCAAACCCAGTCATAGAGTTACAGTATTCACAGATCTAGTCGAAGATGTATTTAGTCATTTCTGCTTTAAATTGAGATCCTTTCCTTTTATAGCTCACTTATCCTCCACCATTCCCAAGTCAAGGGTCGTAGATACTGACCCAATAGCATATCTTGAAAACCAGAGCCACTCAACAATTTTAGGCATCGTTTTCATTCTCAGTGACCCAGAATTGGCAAACTTTTGACTATATTTGTTTCAGAAGCATTTTGGCTGTAGATCAGTGTAATCTATAACACTGCTGAGTCTGCACACAGCAGCTTGAAGTGCATAGATAAAAAAAACTAATTTTGTATAGAGTAAAATTTGGTGTTCTCCCTTTAGTGCATTTGTGCTAGCAACAGAGACTAAAATACTGTACACTTGTGCTTTCGGTTAAAACATTAAATAACTTTTACTATGTATAAACATCTGTAAAATACAACGCAATTCATAGATATTTGATATTTGTCATACATGTTCTGGATTTATTGACAGATATATTTTCTCTGGCAAATAACCAACTTTCTCATCATAACACTATTACATTCTAAAGCCCTAACTGCCCTATTAAACCTTGTCAGTTACATCTTTCTTCTTGTCGCTGAAATCTATTACATGTTTGTACATTGCGGTATGCTGAGCTACATACCATCATCAGACCCTATTTATTACATGTTGAGTTCTTTCTGAGGTACATATCATCTGAGACCCTATCTGAGGCCATTAAATATTTGGTTCTCTCCCTGTCACACATATTGGACCCTGTCTGACAGACTTCTGACACCTGCCTTATATATCAGTCTGGCTGACTCCAAACACATTCTGATTGGTCAGAATCCTAAGCTATACAAATACAGTACAACATTCTGGTCCTTCCTAGCAAACACTTAAACATACAGATATACATATACACGTTCTGTGTTGTATAAATATGTATATATGATTCACTTTGGTACACACAGAGAGAGAGAGAGAGAGAGAGAGAGAGAGAGAGAGAGAGAGAGAGAGCCCTCTTCTGACTTAAGTATGTTAATTGCTGACTTACAAGTGGCTGGAGTTCTTATCACTATTTATCTCTGTAAAAGTCACTCTTGCCTGTCAACATTAACCTTTCCAATGTGCTGCAAATAACACCAGCTCCCTGCAAATTCTGATTTGCAAATGTGTCTGTTCTTTCCTCTTTGCCAAATGTTTTCCCTTTCTTATCTTGTTTATCTTAACCATTATGCAAGCTGCAATCAAAAACTTATTCGCCTGGGAGTCTCTGAGCCACTGACTTCAAAAAGATTGATTTCTGGGTAGTCATATAAAAGAACTGCACAGTGCTACATCCACAACAATGCTACTCTTGATTAATGTCAACACAGTGGTTTCCAAGTCCCATGAAAATCTGGTTTCAAACTTCATTTAAGAAGTAACTCCTGGTATATGTTAATGATTGTTAGCATTTTTTTGGTGAAGTCCAAACTACTGCTTGCTTCAAAGTTTATACAGGAACAACAACTGTGTACACAAATGGCTGAACACTGTGAGTAACAGTTTATACAACAGAGAGGTTTAGACCTGAGAAAACCTAAAACCCATCCTTCCAGAACTCAGGTTGTGCTTAAAGTGGGTACCACGTGTTCACTGTACCTCTGTGAAATCTGGTAGGGTATGAAGTTTGCTTATGTGGGGGTATAAAACAGAGTCAGCACTGGTAGGAACTGTTTCCCAAGGCCTGCCTAGTTTCTGTAAAATCCTTCAGCAGGTATGGCCAATCCACAAATGTCTTGAGGGCATCCCATGACAGGCAAGAGGCTTTGTTGATTTGCTCTAATAAGCAATGTTTAAAACTCCCCCTTTTAGCCTCAGTTATTAGCCAGTTAGTTATGAAACCCATTTGGTCCCTGTGGACACAGTGATGAATCAGTTCGTAAGTTTGGACTGGACAGTGAGAATACAGTATTTCAATGTCTTGATTAATAAGCTCAAGCACATCTAGTTTGACAGGACCACAGGCATCTCAAGACTGGAAGAGCTACCAGTTTTCAGGTTTGAATTTCTCCTCAAGTTGACATTACACAGAGATATAGCGTGAGGTGAAATTTCTGTGTTAGCGAAGGCTTTATACCAATTCCTTTGTAAAATCACCGATGCCCGTGGATTCACCTCTTTTAATGGCATTTAATGGCATCTACAATTTCCTCTCCAGATACAGTGCAGTTCAAGATATTTCTGTGGGATGGAATTATCAATTGGGTGCCCACAAGCTATAAATCATCAAGGTGAGGAGAGTTTTCATCTCTCTGACTGCTAAAAGTTAGCACAAACCTCCTGAAATGATGCATTGACAGATGTAGGATAGTATGTTATCTTGAACTTCTATGTAATTTCTAGCAATGGCCCTCTCAGAATGTTTCTGTTTCAATGCCTGAAAGATGTCTGGTGAGAATTCCAGGGTTTCAGCTAGAATGAGGGGATTCTAAACAGTCTTACTGCTGTGGACAATGACACCTAGTTTGCAGGGGGAGGGCTTACCTCAACATTTCTTGGTGAGCCCCCTTCCCCTACATAGACCAAGAGCTACCCTTGTTGGCAGACATACGGTTCTCAAAGTTTGGTCCCCCAGCATGTTTCCGACATCAAATCCTGAACCTCGGCCGCCAGTCATATTGGCTGAGGCTTCTTGAAGGCGAAGTTCAAATCATCTGAAGGACCAAAGGATGAAAACTACTGTTGTAGAGCATGACTGAGGTTGCTATTGTCCACATCTTTCATATAGGGAGTAAAGGCAATATTAACAAATAGATCAATTTTTAAGTAGGACCAGGGTGTGAGCTGAAATCAAGGTAGTTATATTCGTTCCCATGAAAAATCTTCCATACAGTAATTAAGTTGTGTTTGCTGAGTGTTTTCTGGGTGACCTTTTAGGTAAGCATGGTGAAACTGGGGCTTTATCTAGGTTCCAGCTGGGAACAGCATTTGTATCACCCTTTATCATTTGCTTACCAACACAGAAATGCACCAGAAATGTGAGTCCACCTATAACAAAGGTGAATAGGGCTTGCTTAGGCATATAAAAGGAGCCCAATACTACAATTTTAATGATGACAACAGAGTTTCCACTACAAAAATAAAGCAACCACACAGATTCTTGAGGACATCATCTACCTAAATATTCACCTGAATATTTAGTTATGATTATAATACCCATCTCCATGTTTTCAATTTGCTCCTCACATAGCACCTATTCTCAAGCACAGAATGGGACACAACACTATTTATTCACAGATGTATGACAGATTGGCTCTGACTACATCATCAAATACTGCAGGATTTGCTTCACTTATAAACTGGATGCATTCCAAGTATTTTTTTTAATGCGCACATGAATCAAAGACTAATTTAAATTGGCCCATCCATTTTTCCCCTCTGCTGTTGCATGAGACTTCTACTTTTTGAGCCAGAATTATTCAAATAGGCCTTTCCCTGTGAGGTTAACTGTAACACCTTTTTTTGTAAAGACGGGAGGCATATTTGTAGGTGGTGTTTCAGTGATGCAGGCAGTTGGGGCGTGATGATCAGGACCAGCAAAGATGCCCCTACATTGTTTCCTCTCCTCAGAGCATCCATTTTTTTTAAAAAAAAAAATCTTAAATATATTAGTGCTAGATTACACAAACACCTTATCACTGTTTCATTGTTATTTTGGTTTCCCGTATTCACACACACACAACTGTTCCACTGTCAGATCAGCAGAGGCAGGACCAGAGGAAGGAAGGAAATACGTGCTATAGGCTGGAATGTGAAATTACATCACATCCAGTATGAAGGATGAACTCCAGAATCAATCTGCAGCTTCTATGTGAGCACTGACTGTGGTTTCAAATGTAATACCGGCTGTGGATCAAATTCCAGCATAATGGCACCCTGAATCTCTTGCAGTGGAAATCTGTTCTGGCATAGGTCTCTAATCACATTTTGAACCCTGGACCTCTTTCACAAAAGAGTGCAGCCTATTAAAATTCAGTGCAACAATGTTTTGTTTATCCAAGGTAATAGAGTGTGAAGCGCTCAATGTAAGTGTGTAATTCCCACCTGTTGCTACAGCTTTATTTTGGAGCGTCTGCACTAATTTTCTCAGGCATAATCCCAAGATATGAACAACTTGTGCATTTATAAGAACAACAGTTCAGCCAAGAAAAAAAAACATTAAATCAGAACTCATACTCATGTCCAGGAGAGGAATGCTGAGAGCAAATAACCTGTGCTAAGGCAATAGCTCCTAGCAATCCTCATGAAGGAAGGAGGGAGTACGATTGTATCAATAACAAAAGATGGCTCCCTTTCCTGTCAAACTGAATTTGTCAGATGTACTGGTAAATGACTGGCAGCTGTATGCAGTCAATGTATTTAACAATAATGCTATTATTTTCCTGATGTACTGGCAGAAGCTTTAAGTGCGCATAACCAAAGATACAAACCTTGAATAGAGCTTCTGAAGCTACTGTGAGTTCTTGTCCCAATTTGCATTTCTCCTCTTCTACTTTCTAGGTGCTATTGTTTTAGCCACCAGGGATTCTAGCTAGTTTCAATACTAGGATATTGAAAGCTTCACAAAGAGCTGTAGCTTAAGATTTACAGGGAAGTTCTGTTTCTAACAGCTTCCAACTTCCCAGAAGCTAACCATGTATGGTCTGAGCATTTTGAATTTATTAAGAGTTTTGGCAGCCCAGTCGCAGTATGTTTTGATTTTGATTCCTTTCTAGGTTGTGGATCTAAGCTTATTAAGGGCCCACACAGTTTAAGTTTCCAAACATATCAGAAAAAGCTTTATAATGATGCCCCTAATTTGATCTCACTTGTGAAGCCACAGGCTTAAGAGGTTGGTAGGTTCTTCCAGTGTCCCAGCTGATTAGCTGAAAGGTCAAGGAAAATGTTGAACAAAATTGTGTATGAAAATACCCTGCGCCACATTTGTATCCACATACATCACTATGCACACATTTCTCATCTATCTTTCTAGTGGCAGATGGATCAAGTGAGTGGGACACATAACAGTGGGAATGTACGCACATATCAGACCAACCACAACACATCCTAAATGCTATAAAAAGCTGACTGCACAAGGTAGAGACTCAGTCCAATGCCTCCCTTCTGTAAGTCTTTGAAAGATGGCTCAACTTTCAACATACCTGAAGGCCTCAATGAGACGCTCTACCTTCTGTGCTTCGCCTTGCACCCGAATGTGAGACTGGAATTTTCGCAAAGCTTCATCAAGGTCCATGTTGGAAAAGTCCATCTCGTCTACCACACAACTGGAAGACAGGAGAAAACAGGACAATGACATGCCAACGTAACTGGGGAGACAGCACAGGACAGACATGTATGTGACCTTATTATCCAACATGTCACTTTGATCTCTATACCTTACCTGGCACAAATACAGTAAAGATGATGATAACAGATTAGCCAATGCCAGGGTGGAAAACATGCGGCCCTCCAGAAGTTGCAAAACTGCAACTCATACCATGTTTTCCCAAAAATAAGACAGGGTCTTATACAGTATCAATTTTTGTTCCAAAAAACACATGAGGGCTTATTTTCAGGGAATGTTTTATTTTTTTCATGTACAACAATCTACATTTATTCAAATACAGTCATGTCATCTTCTTCTGTTTGCTGAACAAGGGTGGAGGGTGGGGTTTCACTTAACTGGGGCTCATTTTTGGGGTAAGGTTTATAATGCGAGCATCCTGAAAAATCCTACTAGGGCTTATTTTCAGGTTAGGTCTTATTTTTGGGGAAACAGGGTATCTTTCTTTGCTGGAGGCATTATGCTGGATGGCAGATTAGGGTTTATGTGAATTGCAGATCAGTAAAATCTGGAGGGAAATGGTATTCAACCTCATATTTAATCCCATTCATCTCAAATTAGCATTCCTGAGAACCCTTTTCCCACTTGTTTCTAGAAACCATGTACATAAAGAGGTTCTATAACCTCCCCAGGCATAGAAATGGCAATTTCCTCTTCTTTATCTTACGTAAAGTCACTTTCTGCACTCTCATCAAGAGTATTCTTGTCTCATTAATCTAGAAAGAGTAACTCAATTATACTTTGCATTTATATGGTACTTTCCCTAATTGCTCAAAAATATTGCACAGGCATTATTTTAGTAATTTTTGCAAATTCATAAAGTAGGCCTGTATTATGAACCCTGCATTACCAGGGCAAAGTCATTAGCACTCCTGTACAGGGACTAATGATGGACTGGTGCTGAAATCGGCACCTATGCTGAGATTTAAGCAATGGACCCTCCATTCATAATTCATATGAAAATATTCATAATTCACCTTCAGTAAGCACATTCACCAGCACGGGCTTCACTACAGTGGTGCCTCACTTGACGACGATAATCTATTCCGTTCAAATCGCTGTTAAGCGAAATCGTGGTCAAGCGAATTTAAAAGAACCATTGAAATGCACTGAAAACCGTTCAATGCGTTCCAATGGGCGAAATACCTGCTTGTTTTGCGAAGATCCTCCATAGGGCGGCCATTTCCTGGTGCCTGTAAAGCGAGGAATCCGTGCTAAAAACAGCGGGGAGCCATTTTGCACAGCGGGCGGCCATTTTTAGAGATGCTGATCAGCTGTTTTAGAATTGCCGTCTAGCGAAAAATTGGTTCCCGAAGCAGGGAACCGATCATGGTCAAGCAAATTTTCCCCATAAGAACATCGTTTTGCGATCGCAATAGCTATCACAAAAACTTCATCGTAAAGCAGTTTTGTCGTTTAATGAGGTAATCGTTAAGTGAGGCACCACTGTACTTTCCTTTGCCATTTGTGTAAATGTGGCCCTAGATTAGAAGCGAAAGTCACAGAGGTATTGGGGAAAGGAATCAGGTAGAACTCCTTACTCAAGTACATCCCGGTTGAACTGCTTTTGCCGGTTGCCAAGAAACTCGCCAATCATCTGCCGGCTAAGCCCCTTCCGCTCCAGAATAAAGCGTGCCACGCCAACTGGTGTGTCTGATAGAAAGCCCCTCTCAATCAAATACTGGATTCCCTTCTCTGGTTTCCTGCCGGTGGGAAGAAAGAGCATGTGTAAGTGCCTAAAACTATTTTCACCTGGAAGTCACTTCTCTCATATCTACGATATTTAAGAAGAAACATCAAGCCAGAGCACCAACGTTAAAAAACAACAGTTTGGTCAGTGGAGAAGAGGACTCATGAGTATAAATACATCAAGCCAGAGCACCAACGTTAAAAAAACAACAGTTTGGTCAGTGGAGACCAAATAACTGTTCCTACTAACCAAGTGGAAGCAAGAAATTTAGCTTTTTCAAGTGCTGCCATGAGCTCTGAGGGGCACACCGGAGGGCCCTTAGCAGGAACGCTAAGAACAGCAGAGAACAACTCTTAAATGGCATCCAGCTTCACTGGCATCCCAAAATACACTGCTGGTATAAGACAGGTCAACCATGTCCAAAAGATAAAAACAGATGACTATGCTCTCGCTTAATTTAACAGACCACAAGCGAGGAAGGACTGAGCAAACAAGAAATTGAAGACGATTCTACATCCTAGATGGGGGTCTATTGGTCCAGAACTTGCCACAGGCAACGAACACTTACAGGAGGGACAGCGGAAACATCATAAAACTTGGGACAGGTTTTTAATATCACCTCCCAATATAAAGCACTCCCATCACTGGAACACGTTAATAGCTACCCAACTGAACTGTGTAAACTGCTGTAAGCCGCCTTCGGGGATCATCTACATGAATATATATACTGTATATCAGTCTTGAAAATAAAACAAAGATTGGCTGGTCATATATGTGGAAAATTACACTGGAGAAAAATATAGCTCTTTCCCCTTCTGCTCAGCATCTTCACAAAGTTTAGAAAATTATTTTGAAAAGTAATGGTTACTGTTCTAGTTTCAAGATGCCCTAAGTGATTAGTTACTATGCTAATTTAGAATTTTTTTTAAAGACCACCTTTTTACTTTCCATTCTCAAAAGCAGCAGAAATGGCTACTTTCTAGTTATTTCTAAGAGAGAATCTGATGCCTACAGGTTATGGCCAGTGGTAGAAAACGGATTCTTCTCCTGTCCCTTGTTTCCTCAACACCAGCAACAACCAGCAGCGGGAGGCACGGCTCAAGCTGGCATTTGAATCAGGCGATATTGTTCCTCCATAATTCAGTGAAGCCACATCGCTCACGAACATGAAAATAACTAGAGAGATACAGTTTTACCCAGTTTCCCCTACAATGGTGGAAGTAGGAAGCATGATGGAAGCAGGGGGAGGTTCATTGTTATTAAACTGACTGGGGCTGGCACTGAACTAACTTTTCCATAGGTGACGAAATGGCTCAAGAGCTAAGGGGACAAACAGATAAGTCACAAAGCCACAGCTGACTTTAAACCCCCTGTTCCCACCCACCCCCACCACAGAGGTCAGGTCTATGCAACATGGCAGAATGAGGTGGCAGAACGGATTGAACTACTTCAGGCACCAGATAGGGGGTGCTAATTCAAAATGCTGCCTCGTGAAGCACATGATCTTCCCTCAAGCTAAAAGCACACTGCCACATTAGAGAAAGGCTAAAAGACTGTGTGTTTGCATTTATGCACGCCTTCAACGCAAGAGAGTAACATTAAAAAAAAGTCTCCCACAAATAGTCCCAAGTGGCACCGTCTTCTCTTGTACCTCAGGATTGTCCTGTCTCATCCTGCCAACGATGCGTGTTGGGGGCTACCAGGTGGAAAGCTTCCAGTGATGCCAACCAGAAAACCTCTGGCAGCTGTCCTTTTCTGATTCCCACCCCCACCCCCTTCCCTAACAGATCTTCATGAGCCAGAATAAGTGGAGGTGGAGAGAACACAGAACAAATGAAGGGAATGAGTGGAGGACAGTCTGTAAACTTCCACAAAGGAGGCAGGGAGATGGGCTGAGAAAACCTGTAGTCGGTTAAGACCACTCTAGGCGGCTGGGAGATGGGCTGAGAAAACCTTGGCCACCAGTCAGTCTGCGAGGATGGGGTCTCATCATTCTCCCAGTGGCCATGAGGTGTCAGTAACACCTTTCCCGTTTATTTCCCCAGGCTCCAGAAAAGAAGGTAGAAGAGGTCATGAAGTGGGGAAGGATCAGGCAACAGAAACCATCTGGGCCCCAGAAAAGAAGGAAATGAGGAAATTCCTAACTCAGACCTGATTTAGACTCTTTTACCAGCACTTCCTAAACTTAATTTTTAAAGGGATGAGAATTAATTCATTTTATATCCCACCTTTTCTCCAGTGAGTCCGTAAATGACTCTCCTCCCTGTTTATCCTCACAACAACCCTCTGTGGCAGCCCAGGCTATGAAAAAGAGTGACCGAGAGTTTTATAGCTTCTTGGAGATTTGAAGCTCGATTGCTTGACTCCTAGTCCAGCACTCTAACCATTACACCACACAACCTTGTAAAGTGGTGTAGTGGTAAATTGAGAAATGAAGGGCTCATCAAGAGAATCCTCAAAGCCAGCCCCTCTTCAACATCAACAAAAATGAGGACAAAAATACAGGCAGCTATATGGTTCGTATCTACATATGGTGGGCTGGACTTTTATAAAGTTAATGGCTCTTAACTGCCCATTCAAGGTCAAGCCATCTTCAAATATTTTGCACCAGAGGAGGGATAGCTTGCAACAATATAGTGTTCTTCAGAAAATCCAGTATCTTCTTGGCCAGCATGAGGACTGCAGCTGAGCTTAGAGGAAACAGAGAAGCACAGGGGCTGTAGCAGATGATGCCACAGTGCTCGCTACTCAGAAAATCCCTGGGTTTTGACTTTGTAAGCCTTGGCTCCACAGCACAACCACTTGTGGGTGGAATCCACTCGGAAGCTGTCTAGTGTTCCTCATTACAATGGGTTTTCCTGAGAGCTTCCTTGTGGATTTCAGTAAACATCCATTAGTACGTGGGTTGAAGAGGAAGTGCCATTTAGATTTTCTGCCTCTAGCAATGAAACCTATTTAGTTGGCCACATTCTAGCCAAGCATCATTCTTACCTACCAGGCAAAGCAGGCAAATGGGCATGGATTGTCTCCAGGGGAGGCAGGCCATGGAGTTCTCCCCGCCTGGCACTTTGCCCTGGGGACTCAATATGAGTCATGACTTCAGCTGGTTAATATGATGTGATGGCTGCCTCCCAGCCCCCAAGAGCCTGCCTCCTGCATCCTGCCAACAAAACAGATGCTGTCTTGCTCAGTAGCAATTAAATCACCAAAAGCAACAGGAAGCCAAGATCTGAGCCCTTCCCCCCAACCCAGTCCTTAGCCCAGAAGACCTGAGCGCACTGCAGGGAGCAAGCTACCACGTTGGGAAAGGTGGAAGACAGGCAATTCAGAACAAAGGGGGCACAAGCAAGGTATCTTCCTATGATCTTTAGACTAGTAAGGATCCTGTGGCTTTAACAAAATGTGGTGAAATGGAAATATGCTGAAATTCAAATAGGTGAAGCTTTTCCATCACTTAACTCCATATCAGGAGATGCAGAAAGGTTTATCTGATTAAATTTCTGCATGTCAGGCTGCAGTTCAAGGCACAGGAGCATAGCTGATTTTGAAAAACAGAACAACCCTGAGCAAAAAAATAGGTAAAACAAAACAAGAAAATTCTAACCTTCCCAAAAGTGGGGTGGGTCAGAGAGCAGTTTCAATAATTTGGAAAATGGGATGTGGCTAATAAGAGAGGGTGGTTTGAGGGAACCTGAGATGCAGTGGCTGGATTGCTCAGGCTTCAAAGTCACCCCCCACCCCCCAACCTGCAGCAAAAATGCTTGTGTCTCTCCGCCAATACTTGGGAATGCAATGCCCTTTCTTGGCCTAAAGAACTCAGCTGTGGTTAATCAGTTCCTCCCCTCCTTGCACCAACTGTCTCTGCAAATAATCCCTTCTTCAGCCTGTTAGCAGAGCCTGGAAGAAGAGAAGAGGCAACACGCAAAGTGAAACTATCTTTGATTGGGGGAACTGTGCCATCTTGATGACTGTACACGGTGGTTGCCCAGCAACGGCAAGTTGGCAATTATTGTCAAGGCTGTGTCTACCGTGCCCTTGAAATATTCAATTTCTGTAAGAAGGAAACCCCGAATAATGTGATTAAGATGCATTATTCATTGCACACCGTACTGTCCAGATATCTATCCCAGGATTTATTTGGCTTCTGCGATTTACACCTTGAAACATCATTATTTGGGCAAAACACATAAAAGAGATTGCCAAAAAAAATGGAGATGAAGAAGCTATCTTCCTCCTCTATGTTTCAAGGAAAGCTGGGAAAGTGTCCACACTAATGAATTTGGATCCGCATTACATGCTGTATGAATGTCATCCCAACATGCATACACCCTACAGGAACACAGCGTCTCAAGTGACTTCTCGTACCACCAGGTTACTGGGGAATTGTCTGAAGTCAGTTGTACAGTTATAAGTGAAACCTCTGGAAACAGGGCCAGGGGCAACACTTAGTGTGTTGCTTAGTGTGTCAGCCAATGCGAGAGTGAGCGAGAGAGACAGAAAGAAAGCAGATCTTTATCAAGGAACTGGCACAGAAGAAGAGAACATCTCAGAGCTTTTCCTGAGGACACCTCTAGCAAACCTTTAAATCAGGTATCAGCAACGTGTGGCCCTCCAGGTGATGTAGGATGCAACTCCCACAATCTCTTGCCATTGGCTGTGCTGGCTACAGGTGATGGGAGCTACAGCCTGACAATATCTAGATAGCCAAATATCACCCGACCCTGCTACAGCTTCAGATGCCAGGTCAAGAGATAGTCCAGACCCCTCCAGAAGTCTAGTGCACCAGCTCATGCCTGTGTAGTGCAGTGATTCAACTGCTGTACTGCAGCCAAAATTGTGCTCACAACCCAGAGTTGAATCCAAGGTTCACTCAGCCTTCTATCCTTCCAAGATCAGCAAAATGAGTACTTAGCTCGTGGCGTCTATCCTTCCAAGATCAGCAAAATGAGTACCTAGCTCATGGTGTGGAGCAATGTGTAGCCTGCATAATTAACTTGTAAACTGCCCAGAGAGTGCTTGAAGCGCTATGGGGCAGTATATAAGCAGCACGCTTTGCACAGCCAGCTCTGCTTCACAAGTTAGGACCACAAATCGCCTTTATGGGAGCTGTGAATACCAAGCCGCCTCTTCTTGACACATCCTGCTCCTAAAAAAGCTTGCTGTTTTCTGCCAAGACCCAGGATCAAAAAA